TCCCCCCCCCCCTTTTTTTTTTTTTTAGATGGGAGCTTGTGGGCTCCGTGTCTCACTGCAGAGCTGGGGCAGGAGTGGCTGTGTGCGCTTGCCTGAGCAGTCAAATCCGTGACATAGGTCAAGGTTCCAGCAACGTGGTGGACTGCATGTGAATTTGGCTTGAAGTCTGCAACGATTGCGAAATGCTTTAAGCCATCTTACTCTTGTACAAAGACTTTTGAATGTTTAAAGCAATATATGTAAATATACCAGGATAGTTTTTGTACGAAAATCTTGAGTGCTGTGGAAGTTTTAACAATATTTACTTACAATAAACTTTGGGGGGAAAAAATTAAAGAAGTATTCAACGAAAATAGAAGATGCATTCAATGGTAGTTTAAAATATGTCCCTTTATCTTCATAGAAAATTTGGTGAGTGATTTCATTTCAGACATTAGCTGAATACAAAGTATTCTGGGATGTAACTACTACCTACGAATCTTATTCTGCGATGTTCTCAGATACACCTTTTGAAATGCTTATACAGGTGGTCCTCAAGTTAACGACCACAATAGAGCCCCAAATTTCTGTGACCGAGTTTTGCCCCATTTTTTGACCTTTCCTGCCACAATTAAATAAATCACTGCAGTTATTTAAGTTAGTAACACAGGTGTTAAGTGAACTTGGCTTCTCCGTTGACTTTGCTAGTCAGAAGATGAGCAAAAGGAGATCATGTGACCCCGGTACACTGTGCAACCATCATAAATCTGAACCAGTTGCCAAACATCTGAATTTTGATCATGTGACGATGGGGATGTTGCAACAGTTGTGTGAAAAACAGTTGTGAGTCACTTTTTTTCAGCACCGTTGTAATTTTAAACGGTCACTGTATGAACTGTTGTAAGTTGAGGACTACCCGTACATTAGGAGAATTCACTAAGACCGCACCAAGACCTCCATAAAGTACACATATTCTACTATTGCACTATGCAAGACTTTTGGGGGGAAAAGAATGTCTTCCATGAAAGAGTCAATGGACAAAAGCACCAATGGCTATCTGGGTTTTTAGAAATTGATCAGGTATATGGTTGCCTATAACCAGCGCCACAACCTTCCTATTAAGACTGCTCAAGAGAAATGAGAACTAGGGACTGTCACATTATAAAATGGAAAAATACTATATTGATGAAAACATGCACCATCGCTATCTCAACTAACTTGTTTTTTTTTTTACCATATTTGCTCAATTAACTTCCACATATCCCACTGGCAAGTTGCCCTTAGTTTACTACAGTATTGGATTTCTAAATTTTGACTCCATTGTTGACTCAACCTTGGACAACGGAGAGTTATTTTTGGTGGGTTTGTGTGTTTTTAATCTTGTAAGCTACCCAGAGTGTGACT